CAGATGCCAACATCTGCAGACACTCGAGTGCTTGTATAAGATGGTGCGACATTTGCGCGTAACCTACCATATTCTCCTGTGTGTTTTAAACCTTCTCTCCATTGCTTACCACACCTAGAGATGTGTAAACGCTCTGCAAATAAGCCTCACACTGTGCTTCTCTGGCAAAAAGAAACAGGTCTGTATGTGTTCAGTACAGAGGGATATTTTTTCTTGAATATTTTCAATCTGCCGTCGTTAAATCCACAGTTGTGAAAGCACAGACATGGAAGGCTGCTGTGCACATCCAGGACAGGAAATCGCTGCTGTTTTTTAAGCTTCTGTGTGTGCCACAGGATTTTCCTGCCAAACAGCATTCCATGCTCGAGCTCTATAAGGAAGCTGTGCTGCTACTTATTCTACAGATGAGGAATCCCCCACATGGCTCAGTGGGTAAAGTGTCTGTGATTCAAGCTTAAGGATCTGAGTTCAGGTCCCCAGTATCCAGTATGAAAAGCTGGGGGCAGTGATATGTGTATGTGGCTCCAGCATTGGGGGAGCAGAGACAGGAGGGTCCCCGGAGCTCCTTGAGCCAGCTTAGTTCAGTTCATGCGTTCCAGCTTTACTAAGAAATTCTGTGTCAAAAACTTAGCTGGAAAGCTATCCAGGACACATCTGATGTCAGCCTGTGGCTTCCACACACATGCACATTCTCTCTCTCTCTCTCTCTCTCTCTCTCTCTCTCTCTCTCTCTCTCTCACACACACACACACACACACACACACACACGCACACGCACACACACACATACACACACACACAGTGAGAGAGTGAGATGATGGTGATGACCCTCTCACTGAGAAGGATGGAGTCAGAGTTATACAGAGAGATCATGAAAGGCCTCCAAAGCCAGGGGTGATGATGATTCTCTGCTCTCAAAGATGTATCCAGGGCTGAGTCTATTTAGAACAAAAGACAAAACCCATGGAATTCTCTCAGCAGATTCGCCTTTCTTAAAGAACAACAGGAAAATGTATGTAGTGTGATGTATATACAAGCCAGACTGGAGAGTGTTGGGCTAAGATCCATCACCAGAATATTCCTGACTTTCTTCCAACCCGAGCATGGTTGGAAACCTTGGCTGGTTTTCCCAAGAAAGTGTCCTCAGCCTCACTACTTCAAGCTATCCACTGAGGACACACAGTGGTTGGCAGGGACAGACCAAGCTCCTAACATCCTAGTTAGGGCTCAAGTGTGAGTAGTGGCACAAGGAACATTTGCTGTTGACTTTTAATCATCACCAAGATCGTTTATTTCTCTCCTATTCAGAACCTTCCTATTTATACACAAGCAGGGTCTACATAAAAATCTTTAGTATCCAAAGGAAGCATGAGGTTCCCTGTCAATACATGCAGCATCTTGGCTCCTGACCACTGCTGTGCAGATACCATTCAGCTAGCAGGCTAGCAGCCCCAATCAGCCAGTACCTGTAGTTTACCTAGGACTATAGGTATACAGGACTCAAGCTATCTCACCCCAAGAATAAATATCTATGTTTCTCCATGGTGATGTTATCAGGGACAGGGTTACTATATTACTGAGATTAAAAACTGGGGTGTAGACTTGCATTGTTTATAAAGACAGCATTGTATGTGTTTGGTGTGTGCATCTACACACACATGCAGATGCTTGAGCCCTTGTGCACAAGCTAAAAGGCTAAAGGGGAATGCCGGCTGTCTCTGCCTATTTCCTTGGGATTTTTCACTGGACCTAGAGCTCACTGCTGTTCTGCTGGGTTGACAGCCAGAAAACACCAGAAATCTGTCTGTTCGTCCTGCCAGGGCTTATAGGTATGTGCAGCAACACCCAGATTTTATGTGGGTCATGGGCCCCTGAACCCTGGCCTTCATGCTTACTCA